ATACAGCAAATCATCCTGTAGGTGGACATATAATCCTGTCTACCTCAGGCAAATACTGGGACTGGTAAACCCTTATGAACCAATGTCACGTGAAAAGGGGAGTTTTCCTCCACCCTTAGTGTTTGTCTGTCAGTGCCCCAGGAAAGTCGAGACCCTTGTGCCCAACCAGTCTGTGTCCTGTTATGGGGACCCCTCACAAAACAGTTCTACTGAATCAAAGGGTGATTTGATTGTCTTATTCAGGGACGCACACCAACAGTGTAACAGAGACCCCTCAGTGGGTCTTCCCACTTGAATAAAGTGTGTTACCCACTGCCAGCAACTGCTAGCACCTGACAAGGACCACCCCTAACAGATTACAGAATAACACTCTTTAGTACTATGAAATTGTGATAGGTTAAGGATCGAAGATGGCTGGTGATAATACCTGACTGCAAAAACATATTTAAAGCAATAATCCCAAACTCTAATCCCAATAAAAGTATTCAGTGCTCATACAGTTCTTAACCCAACAGGCATCCCTATGGGGAGAAACAGGTTCAGCCCATCAGCCGATCCCAGCAGTTGTGATGGAGTCTTCCCTAACTTTTCCCCCATTCTCAACTTTTATACTATTTCTTTATGTTTAGGTTGAGCTTGAGTGACTTTAGTCATAAATTCCTTCTTTGCTGATTGGTGTAAAATTCTCTCTGCTTTTAAAGACACAGTAAAAAAAATACAGGGCACATGCCCAGTGTGGGGTGGCTGTACCTTGGAGGTGGGTAACTTTGGGATGGAGGTGTGCGTTAATATTACAATTAGGCTTTAATGAACCAAGTTCATCCAAGGAGAGATTTCAGCACAGTTGTTGGTTCAGCAGCAGGACATTTTTTTTTCCCATCTCCCTTGTTTGACAGGTGCTATGCAAGTTACCAGCTGCAAAGTACCATTGAGTCCCCCTCCCTGCAAGGATTTCTACAGAGCCTGGCTGCGGTGTCTCCGCCCTGCTCCATCCTACATCCCGTCCCCCTTAGCAGGTGCTTACTGTTGTATGGGAAAGCGTTGTGGAGCACATGGACCGCATTCCATCCAGGGTGTAGCAGCTGCATTTTACCCTATAATTTATGTACTGTTAAAACTTCTGTTGGGATGGGAATAGAACTTCTCAGTTTCCTCTAATTTTTACCCCCAGCCATCTTCCCATGATCAGTGTGCACAGAAGGTCCACTCTCCAGAGGGCAGTAGTGCACAACAGACCTGGCATCTGTTATGTCTAGAAAAATCCTGTAAACAGATCAAGTTCTACCAGAAAAGCCTGTAAAATTAAGAGTTTCCTCAGGCTGACTAATCAGTCTCTGCCAATCACCTGATACGGGACTGAAGATATCACTGCACTTCCCGTAGATATGACATTGGCTAAGGCATTGATAGTCCCTCGTCCACTGAGGGCTGTGTGAGTCTTCTGTGCTTCTTCCGTTCCTTAAAAAGGAATCACTACCATCAAAAACTTCCAACAAGCACCTAAAAAGTAAAATCCCAATGAAGATAAAGTAGTTCTATATGGTGGAGAACTTTGCAAGGAAAAAGACAATACACAATTTCATCATGCCAGGAACATTTCACAGCCAAAAAACTGTAGAGAGCAAGTATTGGAAATCCAGGTCAATTCCCTATTCTATAATACTCCCAAAAGAGGGAGGTTAACTAATTCTAAAGGACACACTAAGATTTCCAGTATTAAAGCAAAACAGTGCTCTTCAGAGAAGAGTGGAAAGTTAATATATAGTCTCTTCAGATACTTTGCAGTGCTCAAAATACCTGCATACAAAATAATCTATAGAGTAGGCATAGGCAAGTAGTACCCTCATTCACAAACTCTCCCTTGTTTTGCACAGTCACTTGGCATGACAGACCAGTCTTTCCTTTTTGCTGTAGAGCTCCCAGCTGAGGGAGTTCCCCCTCTTATTAGTGAAAAGGGAAAGTATTCAGCTGTAGGCCTCGTCTTCTACCGTACTCTTTCCAAAAGTAAGATAAAAATATATACATGGATCTTCAATTCTACCATGAAAGTTGGAGCAGAGATGAGAACTCCATTAAAGTCCAAAGTAGACAAAATAATAGAAGTATCACAGAACTACAGAGAACATATTGAAATCCAGCTCAGAACTAAAGGCTTGCATAGGCATGCACTACTGGGCACTGGCAAAAACAAGGAGAATGGTCCAAGTAGCCTCATACAAGGGAGCTGAGCAGACACTGCACATTTAAAGCCTTTAGCAGACTCAGGTTCCACCAGGGAAGGTTGAAATTGGCCATCAGGAAAAATGTCTTCACAGAAAGGGTTGTCAAGCATTGGAGCTGACTGCCCAGGGAGGCAGTTGGAGGTATTTGTAAGTCACGTCCATGCGGCACTTAGGGACATGAGTTAGTGGTGGACTTGGCCGTGCTGAGTTAGTGGTGGGACTCAATGAACTTAGAAGCCCTTTCCAACCTGACTGATTCCATATGATGTGCTCAAGAAGTACTCTGAAAAAACCCACCACAAAACTACGACATTCTTGACAGTGATGAGTTTCTGACAACCAAAATAAAAATAACGTACGGTAGGGAAGAGAACAAAGCTATAGACAGAGTTGCTATCATGCTTCTACAGCATCAAGTGTTTTTTGGTGGGTTTGTTTGTGGATTTTGTTTGTTTGGGGATTTCGTTTGTTTGGGGTTTTAACAGCTAATAACATAAAAAAAGGCAGATCAAACAGTGGTCATATAAAGGAAATAGTCCTTTAATGCTTAAAATAGGAAAATGCAGGTTGGGAAGTTTAATGTCAGAAATATAGCACACAAATAACTGTCAAAGCAGCTTGGTCCTATGCTTCTTGTAGTCTACAAAAGCCTTCTATTTCTTCAAAAAAGTTAAGACTATTTTTATTCCTCTGAAACTTATAGGAATAAGATGTTTCTGTATTTTCTTTTTCCTCTACACAGTGTATGTTTAACAGCAAGGATAGCCAGGGTATTAGTATCTGCTGCTAAGATGATTACTTAGTTCCACTAGGAAAGTCAAATTAATTGTGTTTTTATGTCTTATTTCTATACTCGCAGTAAGAATCTACCCTTCAGAGGAACAGGCTTAAGGAATTTTATTGAATATAAAAATACATAAACTTAAGACATGCTAAGTAAACTGTACAAAAGGTACACTTAAAATAAATGAGGCAACTGTATCCATACAAAAGCAAAAATTTACAAATGACTCATACTACTGAAATGTGCAGGTGCCATGGTACATTCTGATTAAGACTTTAAATTCTGATAAAAACAGAAACAAAAGCAAAAGCAAGAGCAGTAGTTATGTTCTAAGGCCTGCTGTCTAAACTTAAAAGCCATATTCCAGAACACAAAAAATAACTACCTTACTTTCAATATGGGAAGGAACTTGCAGATGGCTCATAAACACAAGAGCAGTCATTTATAGAAGCAGAGACAAACAGGTATCAGGCAGCCAAGTGAGAGCATAACCCCTTCTGTATGGTAGAGTTTACAGTTTTTCTTAATAAGAGGAGTATTGTTTTAGATAGCAAAAGTATTATTAAAATCACAAAAGCAAAACGTTTCTAAAGCGAAGGAACCGAGATTCAGTAAGGACTAGGCTGTTACCAGAAAAAACCCCCAAAACTCCAAGACTTTGTAAAGGTAAAAGGAAAAAGAGGAAAACAGAAGAAAGCAGTAAATCTACCCACCTGCCAGAAAACTTTTAGAACTGTCAAATTAAACTTCTGGAGTATCACAAAAGAACAGGAAATCAGAAGCTTAAATAATGCCATAATTATCATAATATCTGAAACAAAATACTCATACCAGAACTGGAAGATTCTCACGCTATGTAAGGACAACTGAATTTAAAATGCATTCTGCAAAAATAGCCTAGAATTAGAGACAATTCAGTTTTTATTTGCAGTCTGTGTTCAGATGGTCAAAATTAAGTTGTCATGTGTCCTAGGGATCCATTTATAGAATTAAGGAGCAACTTCCTTTATCTATCTTCTGCTAACAGCTTTTGAACAACTGCAAAGTTGTTTTAAACTTTGTATATTTGAATCAGTGATATTTATCTCTGAACTCTAAAAACAACACTCAAATATTTCAAATACTTTTATTAGGAAATACCATCAAAAACTAAACCATCCAAGACACGAATACTGTTTGTGTTTTGTTTTTTTTTTTTTTTGTTTTTTTTTATTTTTCCTAACACAAAATGATATTCAAAGTAGATTATAGATTATTACTTCCACATATCATTCCTCTGATACATTTTGTCCTCTGTTTTCGGACTGGAGGTCCCCATACTCTAATTTTACTGCTACTTTCCTGGGGAATTAAAATCAAATAGAGTATGTCCTACTGGCTGAAAAACAGAATGCAGACACATTTTAGACCATTTTGATGTATCTAACTTCAGCCAAACCTACAATAATTAGACATACAGCCAGAATTCCTGTGTTGTCCTGCTTAGAGCTATCTCTGGCATATATTTTCAACAAGTTCAGTGTAGTTTTATCTGGGATCATAAGCACCTAGAGAACTTTGTTTTCAGACTATTCTTTTTTTTTTTTCCAGACTATTCACAAGACTCCTGTACAAGTACTATGGTCACATATGTGCCCTAAATGCATATGTATACAATGAAATGCACAATCTATACTCTAGAAGGGAAAGCCTCTTATCATTTAACAACCTTGTACATTTACAAAACCCACTAGTTATTTTTGAGTAGCAGTATTTCAAGTTGTCAATACCCTCTGCATTTGTCCTGTCACTTGTGGTTCCATCAAAATTCCACTCTGCCTTTGTTATTTTAACAGGTTAGCTCTACTTCTGCTGTACTGATATTCCTAGAAAATTATTTGTTTGTAAAGAAAAAACAAAATGCAGTTGTTCCACACTTGTTCTGTCACAGATCTTTGTAAGCATATAAGATATTGTAAGTGGGAAGTGTAAGCAAAGCCTTTTTTAAGAAAATGCAATTTTTTTTATTTTTTCAATGCATTTGTGTCAACAAAACAAAGGAAGTTAATAAATACTTCCTTAAACTTAAAACCAGTTTCACTGCTAAACACCAGAAGTACCCTCCTTTTAGAAGGTCCCATACCATTCAGAAATGCAAAATTTTCATCTTCACTTTTTTAGTAATTACAGACTTTCAGCCTTCTTTTTATAACTGTCTAGAATTCTGTTCAAATCTGACAATAGATCTTCGGACATGAATTCTTCATAATCTCTCTCAATTTTCATATTCTGTTCATCAAGGTATTTCTGAAAAAGAGTTACAAAGAGTTTATTAGGTCTATCACAGTCCATAGTCTCTGATTCTGCTAAAGCATTTTAAGCAGTTATTGCACAGGTTAGGTGATTTCAGTTAAACACTTTTCTGAAAGACATCAGAAGCAGGTTAAACCTGACAGGATGTAACTGCTAAAATTTAATGATCAATTCTAATTATTTACACCAAAGGCTTTGTCAAAAATGTATCTAGAATCTACAGACTCAGTGCAGCAGCTAAATAACTAATACCTTGTAGGAAACAGTAAGTTCCAATTTCCTTATGTTTAACTGCAGTTTCATATGTCTCTAGAGAGATTTGATTCTGAATATCAAATTTACAGATTTACTTACCCCTACAGATACTACATGAGTACCAATCACTTCTAAAAGACGACTCAGGTTGTCACCAGCTTTTCTGCTCTCTTCTGTTGTTGTTTGCACAACAACTTGATATCTAAAAATAAAGATATCAGAAAGTCATGCCCATAACTACAAAATAATCATCGAATCTGATTTATTGTCATGTTTACCCATTCTTTTTTCTATTAGTATTAAATTGAAGGAAGTTAGATTTGTATATAAATACTCAGCTTAGAAGAATGGACTGTATTGTGCTGACCAGTAAGAAACACTTGCACCTTAGAGGCAGAGTATCTTTTCAAACTTTAACATATAAAATCTAGTTGTCACATAACTTAGGAAACAAACTAATTTCCTTATTATAATCATATATATATAAAAAATTACATGGGAAACAGGAGTTCTGATAGAGCAGACAAATATTCTAGCAAAATACTGTTGAGGAGAAACAACTTTGAGTTGCTAACTTGTGAAATTAATGTAGAATGAGATGGATAAAAGCTGAAACAATTTTATGTAAGAATTCAAGAGAATATCGGTAAAAACCAAAATAAACTAGGGAAACTTTGAAGGTGTGGGTCTTACTGTCGTTGGAGATCATGCAATTCATTTGTGGCTTCACTGAGACCTTCATTGACACCACTCTCGAGTAATTGTTTATGCTTCTTTAACATTTCAAGTTCATTTGCACATTTTTGCTCTTCCTCTTCTACTTCCTGTAATAAGGGAAGAAGAGAAAAAAATTGCATACCTTGGGAATAATTAGGACTTTTTTCCTCCTTTATATTACCTGATTGCATCCTGATGCTTGAATTCAGAATTCACAAAAGTAACTCCAAGCTCAGAACTGAAAAAAACCCCAAGGACATCCCTCCCAAACATAAAGTTTCAGGTATTTTCTCTATCATCTTCCTCTTAGAATCAGCCTAACCTTCTCTTTATTCCTTTAACCATATTTAAAGGTCTGTGTTGCAGCAATCTTCCCTTCAAAGTTAATCTCAAAAAGTGTTATTTACATACTCTAAATAGGTTAGAAATGGCACATCATGAGCAACTGTTTCTAGCTTAAAAAAATAAAATCACATTTGAGTAAAAAATTCCAAGTAACCATCTCTTCAAGGAGAATGACAGTGTTGACACTATATTTAATACAATTAAACCCACAAAACCATGCAAAATTGTGCCATCAGCTCAAGATGCAATTCTGGTAGATTCTGAAACATGATTCCTCAAAATAATTTTAATACTTAAGTCTTATGGACAGCATTTTAAAAATTACATTACTTGTCTTATTAAAAACATCCAGTTGTGACTGTGTATTTTATGAGCTTAACTTGAGAGAAAAGTTTATGCAACAGCATAGACCAAAAGCTAACTTTCAGATGTTTTTGAAAACAGTAAACTAAATTATTTGCCTTTAGCCACCTCAGCAGTTATTGGCAGTAAAACAGCCCTGTTTCACAGCTACATCACAGGAGTTTGGATTTACAAGTGCATATATGCTAAACACTTAGTTCATGGAGCACCACAGCCCCACCAAAGCCATGCTGTCAGAGAAGCTGGGAGGTATCGAAGCAGCCACTTAGTTGTTAAACAGGGCTATGTTTTGTTGCTAAACCACAAGTGAGGAAAGGGATTAAGGACTGTTCCTGTGCTGGAGAAGGAAGCTAAAGTAAGCAAGAGTTTCAGATCATTAAAACATTTAATTTGCTTTTAGTCAATCAATATATTCCTTAGTTTTTAAGGAAACTAATTAACCGTGTTTACTAAAACCTGTAAATGTATTCATTATATACAAAGTGATTTGGCAAGGCAGATTTTGTTAGTCCTCCTTCAAGCGCATGCTCTGAGACGTCCTGAGGTCAGGAGATGATTGCTGCTGCTTTTTTTACTGGATGTAGTACTTCATGATTTATAGGATCCGCTAAAGTATGATGCCAGATTCTCTTACAAGAGAGTGAAAACAGACTCATTTAAGGTAGCAATCAAATACTTCCAAAAAGAATAAAAAAGTCCTGAAAGAGGAATGGAAGAAGGCAAGAGCAGAGGTCCAAACAAAAATGTGAACCAAAACCTTATATATAAATACAAAGATTAAGGATATCATTAAGGATAAATTGTCATCAACCTGTAAGAAGTTTTACCTTAAGCTTCTGTTGGTAAAGATCATCCAGCTTTTCAGCTTCTTCTGTCAGCATTTTCACACTGCTTTTCGCATCCGCTACCATTGCATTCACCTGGAATGAAAACATAACCAAGGAAACACAATTCAAAAGAATTCCAATTCAGAAGAATTCCATGCCATCACAAACAACACCTGGTAGCCCAGAAAAAAGTTAACCTAGGCCAGGCTGGGATGGCATTAACTTTCATCATAGCAGCCTGGATTGCGATTTGCTTTGGATAAGGCGCTAAACAGCGTAGGTAACACACCGATGTTTTGGCTATTTCTGAACAGTGCTTGCACACCATCCAAAGCTTTCTATCCCTCCCAGAGCCCCTCACTAACTAGGGTAGGGACGAGCAAAAGGCTGGGAAGGCACACAGCTAGGCCAGCTGGCCAGAAGGATATTCCATGCCATCATGTTCAGTAATAAAAATCGAGGTAGAAGAAGAATGAAATTCTCTTTCTTCCAATCCACCCTGAACCCAATATTGCTACAAATCTTGCTGATGACAATTTGCCAGTGATGGTAAGCCACGCAACAGACTGAAATGGGCAACTTATTAAAAACAAATATTACCAATGTTTATGGTCGAATGTATATAAACTGCATAAACTTCAGTGCAGGGAATACACAATATTTCAATCAGTGGAAAACGACCCCAATTCTTAGAAAAACCTTTGGGTTCCCTCATAATTAAAGTAATTTTCTCACAGCTTCCTCCCCTCTTTACTTGCCCTCAAAAAAAACAACAACCCTAAAACAAAACGAAACCAACCAACCAAAAAAACCAACCAAAAAACCAACAAAAAAAAAAAAACCACCAAAAACTGATCAACCAAACAATCCCCACAAACCCAAACCCAAACAAAAAACAGCCCACCACACCATACTCCACCCATGCCAAAGGGTCAAATGGGACCAGCAGATATTATGTTTGGTATCTTACTCTTTATCTTCACCAACCAACACACCTGTTCGAAAGTATCTTCCAAAGACATTTTCCGTTCAGTAGCTTTCCTAATATCTTCCTCTGTCTGGTTTATGATCTCCATAAGGGGAGCCTGTAATATGCATACAAGAAGATCTGGCTAATGCAACTTGTTAGTTTGAACTAAGATGCACCCCAGTACATCTTTTCTTTCTCCTGTTTTTGTTTAGGCTGCTGTATTCTCCAACACTAAAATTTCTTCATATACTACAGTGTAGTTATGGCAACTCATCACACAAGCTTTTCAATGAAGTTTCATTGTGAGAGACCTTTCCAACATTTCCAAACACATCTTTTTGTGAGTGATAACCAAAGCCTTTGGTGTTGGCTCTACTTACCTTGATCTGGGCTCTATATTTGGCTAGGCAGTTGGGTCCTTCCTCAGGATTAAACTGAATCTCAAAGTCACGGCCTTTGGAATTCTCAGCACCTACTGGAATTAATTTCAGCTTTCGAGCCAGTTTATGATATTCTGCCAGTTGTATTTCAATCTGTTCAGAGGAGAAGAGGGCAAAAATCACAAAAGAGATAGAAGGGAAAAGCTTTGCAAAAAGTATTCATATAGTACTTTAAACAGGTTCCTGAGTTGCTCTATACAGACATAATTCCATGTTACACCACAGTATTCAAGAGCTGTATGTAATGACAGTCCAGCAGTTTGCTGGATTAAGTGCTGTTTTATTATTCTTTCAGTTTGCTCAGCAAGGTTTCTCAGTGTGTATGGCTCACACTGAATGGCTTCATCTGCCATAGTTTTTCCTGCCCCAGCTTTTTGAGGACTAGCTGATGGGGAAGTAAAAACATGTTTAAAAATAATACTAAACCAAAGTTCAGTCATCATGTTGACATGCTTTCTCTCTTTGGTTTTGACAGGAAATGCCATATAGCCACATATCTTTGTAACAAACTAACTTGAGCATACTAAATAAAGCTTATTAAACACTAATTTCTAATTAATGAGTGCTATTTATATGCAAACACTAAAGAACCTAAGTATTTTTTCCAGTTTTTTCATGCTTCATACTTGCACATGAGGAATTTAAGTTAATACCAGGTGCTTGACCCTGTGAAATGCAAAATATATTTGAAACCTTTTTATCTAGTTCTCCAGGTGGCAAAGCAGAAGCTTTTAAATCCCATCACTTACAAGACTACGTCTTTTCATTCTGTTTGTAGAAACTGAATTTGGCCATTAAAAGATACTAGAACTTCTACATAAGGGACTAATCTGGCCCTAAACACATGCAAAGGTATTGATTCGAAGCACTATTTCCTTCCTACGAAATCTTAACATTAATGTGAAATTTCTTGTGTTATCAAAGGTCATAATGCTATAGCAGAGAGAGCTGACAAGGGTGCATATTCGAGCTGCATCTCTTATGATGCAGTTTAGCCTGTTAAGATATATCCCCGCTGTTGATAGATTATTTAGAAAAGAAGTTAACAATAGTTCAAGTCCCAAGTTTCAGCTTGCATGATGAAAACTGATAGCCACCTCTCAGTGTAGTGGGGTTCTCACATACCGCCTCTTTATTCCTAGCATATTTTAGCTCTTCATTCCACAGCTGATGTTCTTCTGCTTCCACTTCCTTAGTCAGCTTTTTAATGGTTTGCTGCAACTCATTTCTCTCATGGTTTATTCTCTCAATGTCCGCAACTGAGTACTTCTGGTTGTCAAAGATGTGCTGGAGCCGGGCATTCTCCTGCTTCATTGCTTCTACTTCCAATTCTAAGTTCAAAAGACATTTGTGAAACAGATGTAAAATACCAGCCTATGTAGTTCAACCTAACATTTGTATTTTATGAGTAAATAATATCTATATTTCATTACTCTAGTGTACAAACAGATATTAGCCAAAAAAACCCCTCTTTATTAGCAATGCATTTTGGAAAGTTTAGTTGCAGCAGCATCTCACTCTGAGATCCTAAAGCTGAGAATTACAATTATTTAAAAACTATTTCTAGCTTCACTATCCCAATTGTGACCAAGACCTTCTTACTTGCTGACTCAACTTCATCAGTAACACTTTCCATTTTTTGGTCAAGGATGGCTATGTGAGATTCCAGATTAGCCAAGTAAGCCTGGTATTTCTGGACATCTGCTTGAAGAGACGATTTCACATTTCGTAGTGTTACTCTACGATCCTAGTAAATGGGTGAAAAGAACAACCACTGTTAGATTAATATAAAATAATTACTTCACTTTCCAGACAAGACAATAGAGTAACTGCTTAAAACAATAGCATAAATATAAAATTAAAGGACTTCAATAAATTTTTTTCTGTGTGACAGCTGAGTCAAGTTAGGCATCTTTAAAATAACAACAAAGAAGGCTGAAAAGACTCTTGCATTTCATCTTTGAGTCTGATTTGCATCAGGCATTGTGTTGAGGAAGTTCTTACTACAGGTAATTCACAACTTAAGTAGAATAATAAAAAAAAAAACAAAAAAACAGGTAAAACTAGGTTAAGGAAAGCTGGAAATACAAACAGCACATTTTGCACAGTTGGCAGGAGTCTCCACTTGCCAGCTGCACAGCCACTAACCTATTTTTAAACTCATGATGTACTAAAAGCAGAATCCATATTTTCAAGTAAAATGTTTTCCATAAAATGTATTGTTACCACTGAATCCCACGCCTCATAACAGCACAATTGGAAAAGATAATGTTGATGTTCAGGAAAAAAAGTGGTTCAAGTACCTTATTAAGATTTCAGTCAATACAAGACATTTTTACCTGGAAATACCTGCACATTATCAAACAAATAGAGACTGAAGACTCCACAGAAAATGCCTTGTACTATAATGATATACAGTCTGTAATAACCTGGCTTAATTAAAATCTCAAAGCACTGAAGATAACTTTCCATTTGTTGTTATGTATCATAACTTATCTTCATTTAATAATGACAATAACGGTCAATAATATAAAATTCAACTCCAGCGTATAAACAGATAGAAACAATTTACTAACCGGCTCACTTTCCTTTTCTTTTTCTAGTCTTGCAATCTCTTCCTGAAGTCTTTTGTTGTCAGCTGCTAAACTTTCCATCTGGAATTCATCTATATTAAATAAATCCTCTGGGGGGGGAGGAGAAAAGGGAGTAGAGTTATAAATTAATCTTACTGAATTATCACCACCTAATCTGAACTTTAAGTTCAGCAGAGTAAATACCCATTATCTGGGCATTTTACACTAAAAAAAAACCCCAATACACCCAACCAACAAACCCACTAAAAAACCCCATTCATTACAAAGCAAATAAACAAAAATCCCCAAACAAAGATAAATGAGTTTCTTAGTCCTTGTGTCACAAAAGAGCTCAAAGTTACTTCCATGAAGTAAGAGCTTCCAAACTCTCATATAGCCCACACTAAAAGGATAGAGGTCGTTAAATAAGCTTTATCTGTTCCAGCTTCTCAAGGTAGTCTGACTTGTATACTCCTTTCTCATCTACATACTTCCTTGTCTCCTGAGACATCTTTTCCCTTACTTGCCCCTTAGTCTTTGCAAACAATGTCATGATTATTTTTTCCTGCTAATGTCCAACAGCCTGGTAGCTTCTTTCCTCTCCAACTGATGTCTCCAGCTTGCAACCAAAGTGTCCTTAGTCTGACTTTTCATAAAAGGGTACAGAAAATAAGAAATGTTTTTCTTCCTGGTTCTTAAATTCTGTTTGTTTTTCTGTAGCTGCTGAAATGAATGAGTCAGTTTCCTACCTCCCTGAAAACAAACACAAGTGCATGCTGAAACCCTAAAAACAGAGTTTGGAACTCTTGCAGACTCTTTTCAGAGCTTTCAAAAGATGAGCTTTCTTACTCACCAGATTGCATCCTCCAAAAATATTTTTCTTTTTTTTTTTTTAATGTTAACCTTTGTCAGACAGAAACAAGAGTCATCTGCATAGAATTTGCACCTGAAGAACTGTATACTGGTTTCCTGTCACAAAGCCATTAAAAACAACAGGGTGACACAGGTACAGCTGACAGCAGATCATGACCCACCCCTCTGTATCAGCAGCAATATATATTAAAAAAAAAAAGAGAATTAAGTTGAGGCAATTGAGCAGTACTTGGGAATTTCAAGTTCCCTTATCTCAGATCATTTTCACTTGTAAACAGAGCAAACTGATGCTAGGAGAAAAGAAACCAGTAAGACGATTAAATAACTAAAACTTGAAAACTCACTTAATTTTGACTGCACTTCTGCATCCAATTCTTCAAAAGTATCTCTCCCTTTCATGAAAAGTTCATAGCACTTCACAGCATAGTCCATGAAAAGCTGAAAAAAATTTAAAACCTTTCATCTCAACAATTCAAAGGGCTGTAAGATATCTAGATTGTCTAGATCCAGTCAATCAATGGAATTAAATAGATAAAAGAAGATATTTCACTGTTTCAATTGTTCTTCTGTAAAATTCAATTTTTTGCCTCCCTTTAAATACAGAATGCCATCAGATTATATTCAGGCAGGAGGAGGCATCTATAATGCACATTAAGAAAGGTCTGGAAATACTTACTATATTTTTCTGAGATATTTAACAAGGATAGTAGATACAATATTTAAAATTGTTTTATCTTAAAGCATATGAATCTCTCAGGCTAGTTTGTGGAAAATGTAGGTCTGTTTAACAGACCTCTTCAGTAAATATGACCATTGAAATTCAAATGTGCAGATGTCAGAGAGTTGATCTGGAAATAAAGAAAGGTTACCCAAAAAGAATTCACTTGAGACGTTAAATTACAGATCTTTCAGAAGCAGTTACATCAGTAATATAAATTTTGTATCAATATATATCTATATATATCGCTTGTAGAAGTGCACATTTAGTTTAAAAGCATTTTTACTCGTCAACTGTCAAGTTTGTAATCTTAGTCCAAAATTATGATTTAATTTGATTTTTGCAATTTTGTATTTAAATGTTTTAGCACATTATGCAACCTCTTCCAAAACACCTCCTGTGAGTTAACATTGAGTTAAGTCTGAGTAGTTCTAATAATCTATGATAAATTAGAAAGAAAGCAAGCTGTTGCATTTTTAAGCACCTGAATTACATTACCACCCTATTTTGTTGCTCAGAAATTAAACTTTACAACCAAATTTAATATAGTAAACTGAGTAGATATTGGCAGAAGCCACTACATTTATAATTAAGTCACTATCTTTATGCTGTACTGCTGTTAATCTCAAGAGACTCGAGTGCTAAAGCAAAAATGTACCAGAAACCTTACTAAAACAATAAACAAACAGCATAATAATTCCCTTTCTCCACAGAGGAGAAAGGAAAGAGTAGCTACTTGGAGAATAAGGCATCTCAGTTTAATACTCAGTCTTCACCAACAGACTGGCCATGATGCCTGCTTGGGAAACTAGTTGATCAGGCCTTTTATGTAAGGCTACAATACTTCCTAGAGAAACCTATAAATATAAAATGGAACAGAATCTATGAATACAGTTTAAATTGTTGTGTCACATTTAAATTGTGTTGTTACATCATATGGCAAAATTAATCTGAACAATTCTGATTATAATTTAATTTTTACTATACCTTATTATGTACAATTCCATCATCTGTCTCTCCTCCCCAGCTCTGTCCCTCCTCAAATGATGGTGCATTTTCCCTCATGGCAGTGTACAGCTGAAAGGCACAGGTGCACATGCGAAGAGTGGAGATATCCATTAGTTTTCATGTCCATTATAAGAAGCAGAGTAACACTGGATTAGGATTTCAGCAAAGCAGGCTGTAATCAGCCTGTGTTTAGTTGACTAAACACACGGGTGAAGAGGCAGGAACTGGACATTCAACACTGCCAAGTTGTCTTGTTAAGCCAAATGTGTCTTTTCAGCATAAAGAATGGGATTTTCACATGTGCCCAATTCAGCAGTGGTGAACTTCTGTCACAGATTCCAAATTTTACTCAGACCTGAGCTGGCAGCAAGAAGAGCCACCACTATTAAAAAAAAAAACAACAAGAAAAAACTCAACACCAAAGCCCCCCAAAACTAAACTAGCCCCCCACCCAAGCACAATACTCTCCACTCTGTAAAACAATCACAGGACATTTGAATAATTACAATTGAAAATTCAAAATTAGACTTCAAATTTAGGAGAGGATGGCAGATGTCACAAGATATGCACTGAAGGTACCATGAATCTTCAGTGATGATAACCAATAACTTCTCACATTTTATGTATGTATATAAGCCAGCATTTCCTCCCCTTTTTTTAATACATGAATTTGTCCAGTACATACATTTAAAAAAATATAACATGACAAGCTCAGTTTAAAAGTTACTAAAAAGGCTAAGGGTTAGCTCCCAGATGACAGGTAAGAACACCTACCTTTCTCTTTTCATAAGTGTCAAACAAGGAGATTTGTAAAAAATATTTATGAGATTTCTACTGAAATTAACATTCCAAGCTGAAAAGTGGAAATATTTGACTTAAGGAAGACAAATGTTACCTTGACACAATCAATTAACCAAACCAAAGCTGTCACTATCTGAGGCCAGGTGTGTGGTGCTCCCACTGTGTACAGGGAACTTTTTGACAGAGGAAAGGGGTACCTACAAGGCCAAAGAAAATACATTTTTAATAGCTGTGGCAAACAGTGATGAAAACAAACCAGCACATTTTGCAAACAAAGCAGCACATCTTTATATGTAGATGAAGGCACAGAAGGAAGACCAAATTCAATTGTAGTTTACACTGTACATCAAAGGAAATAAGTTGAGTTCTTACAGCACTATTTTATTCAATTATCATGGGTTTCTCACTTTATGATTCATAGAGTATCTTGATTTGAAAGGGACCCATAATGATCATCAAGTCCAACTCTCTGCTCCTCACAGGACTGCCTAAAACTAAACCATATGATTAAGAGTGTCATCCAGATGCCCCTTGAACTCAAAAAAGAAAATTTACAGTAAGTTCTCAGAATAAGTCTTTGTATCCAGGATTACACTCTTGGTGCAGCAGAATGTAATCTGTTTCAACATTTCAAGCTATGTCAGCTGTTTCAAATGTTACAGATTAATATGAATTAAATTTTATTTTAGTTAATTTAATTAAGAAGGAAATGAAACAGATTTACCCCTACATCTAAGGAGTCCTTTGGTGCTTTGACACCATCATGGACTCAAATGTACAGAAGTAAAATACACTTCATTGGTGGCTCTTAATAAGACTGAAAATTCCCCATTATCAACAGGTAAACGATTTTCTTTCTTGGAAAGCATTGGGGGGCATTAATGATTCCAAACACTGAACAAATTCAGAAGCAAACCACTCAGCTACTTTGTGTTTTTTTCACCTCAGCAGTCATTTTCATTATTTGCACACCCTGCTTTGAAAGCAGAATGAGAGAGATTACAGGAAAAAAAAATCTTAAAATAAATTAACTGGATCCAATATTCTGGAATTTTTAGTTCTTGGATTCTAACAGCATGAACAGAAAAGTCTGTAAAAGAAAACTGTGTCTTTCAAAGCTTTATACAAATCAAGATAATCAATTAAATTTTACATTACAAGGCAAGTTTCCAAGAGCCTATAGTTCTGCAAGTTTGAACATAAAATGCATAGTAGAGTCTAAAAATCGGAGAGTAAACCTAGAGCTAAAGCAAAGCACAATATTCACAACATTGCACTTTCCGAGTCTCATCTGAATAAAGAAGCCTATCCATTCTCCCCAGCTGTCAAGCAGAACCTTATCTATTTAGCACAGCAGACTAAAAAATAATCATCTTACCCAAGCTCCTTAAAAATTCTGGGAATTTCCTCTTCAAATTTTGAGTCAGGTAGTTCATAAGAAGGGCAGAGAAACCCATAGATAAAAGTGAAGATTTTTAAAAAGTCCTTAACCGATGGAGACTGTAGCGATTTCATGGAAACATTATGGGCATAACCATTCTCAACCAGGAACTACAAAAAAGAAACATGGTGTATTAGTCACTAAATAGAACCTGAAGTTGAAACCAAGGAAATAAGTACTTTTATTAGCATAGTCTATGACTCAGAATAATAGCTCAGAATAAGTTAATAGGTTACCTCACAAAGCTGCTTGATACACTGTTGGATGAACGCCTTTTCTTGGAGTGGCCTGGGATCCTTTATCTTTTCTGTACCAAACACACCGTACTGACTGTTGCGCGACCCTCCAGTCGTGCTAGCTCTAAGGACAAACAGTAAATACAGGTCTTGTGACAATACATATTATAAAAAACACCTCTCTGAATGTTTGAGTCACTAAAATTGCTATTATTATGTTTCCTTTGCATTTTTTATGCAAAGTGATACGTGAAGTTCTCTGTATTTAAGATGATTGGAGTAAAATCATCAACTTGGAAACCACAATGCACATGCACAACAAAGGGATTACTGCATCCTAGATGAATATCTTCTTCATTTTATTGAAAGAAATTTTTATGGAGCAAAAAAATACTCCAGAGATGAAGATAAAATGACGTAGGTGGCTGAAAATACTAAAATATTTAAGAAATATTTAAAAGGAATAGACCCCTGCAACAGTGGGGTCCTATGAAAGATACCTGCAAGACATCCAAACACAGAAAATTGTGAACTAAGCAGAAAGATCACAGAATTTTAGAAGTTTTGTATCTTAGAGAGAAGAAACCAAGGCAGAGTGTACTGGAGATGCCATTCTTCCTTGAACAGGACAATGTATTGAGGTGCTCATAAGGTCTGTAGTGCATATCATTCCCAAGGAAAAACAGCTCCCAAAGCAATTCTTACTCCACAGAATTATTGCTTAGTGACCAAAGAGTAGAGTAAGGCAGATCTGAAGGTCTGCTGGCTCAGGTAATTATTCCCTATAGTGAAAAATCTGTTAGGAGAAAAAAATGACAAAATTATGTGGGAGCATTGTTGTATTAATTTACAGAGCAGAGAATAAAAGTTATAAATACCTCTTCCCAAAAATGCTGATTTTCCTTTCTGATGTTGCAGGTGTAGGCTTGCTCATGCTCAGCTTCCCAAACATACCTTTTTCCATCCTGAGGAATATGGAGAAGGATTCAAGTGACTATTTCTACCATTTTTGCTCATGCAAGAACTATAAACACGCTCCTATAAGCTTAAGCACCTTCATTGCAGCAGCACCTTAGAAAAGTCAACCAATTTTAATGCATTATTTGTCCATTATCAGAACTACTTCTGCATTTTTTATAGAGGCACCCAGCCACCACCTAACAAGTATGTTAGAAAACGTGTTACCATGTGAAACATGTCACAGGTACACAAAAAGATTACAGGAAGTCTTTTTGCAGAACTGGAGCACTTGTGCAAACATCCTTGGCTGCAAGGAGCTTTCTTCTCACCATTTTTCCATTTTTCCCAGTTACTACTCACACCAAAGTAAATCTCTTCAGATATAGTTTTATGTAGCTATTCTTAGCAAGGTGATCAGCAACACTTACATCTGAGGTGTTTGAAGACCCATCTTATTGTTGTCCTGCACTCTCAGTGCCATCATAGATTGCCGACCGCTGCTTCTAGTGATCTTTGAGCTTCGCCTCATTGTGACTGAATTGTAAATCACAATCCCTCAGTATGAGAAAATCCAGGATCTAAGAGTATTTGTCTTTTTAAACTCCACAATGATTTTCTGAAGGATCAGAGTAAGCAAGTAGAACTGGACATTGGATCAAACAGTGCGATGGAGTTAACAGAAATACTGGATTTTCTTTAAGGAAAAAAAAAAGTGATTATGTTAGACTCCAGAAATACATAGGAGCAGCCACAATCTTTTAAATAAACTATTTTACTGATGAAAGTGTCAGTGTTTGTTCCAAACCTACTATTTTACCTTTCTTTATATCTGGTCATTTCTAACCTACAAGTTCCACAGGTAAAAAGGCTTGGGAAATTTTTCAGTGCAGTGAGCTACACTACCATGACTACTGTTTCCAGCACTTCAGCCCTTCATCTACTCCTGAACAGCTAATTCTTAGCCTGCTTACTTATTTTGCAAAAGATCTTGCAGTATCATAGCACAATATCTGGAAAATGTATTCTGAGATAATATTATGGCTCTCTTCAGACTACACACACAAAATATAAATCAAACTGGAATATTAATACCACTGTCCCCAACGCGACATTAAGTGGGAATTTGAAGTAAATAGAATTAACTCTGGGAAAAAACTGCCAACTTTCACCCTCTACAGAGGATCTATTTTATTTGTGGGACGGCCATAAGTGACTGAATTATAACTAATCAAAAAGACCTCCATTAAAAACATTATCAAACGCATTATCAATATAAACTATGTTTCATTTTGCTTCTAGTTCCACTGCTCACAAACCACGTTAGAGGTTTAGCTCAGGGCCAGTTCATACAGTAGCATATCCATGATTTCACTGGCTCTGGGGAAGAAGCTACATTATTCAATCACTTCAACAGGCACCCACCACTGGCAGAGTGTTTTCACAAATACAACCAAGTGACTAGTTTCTCAAATCATAGACTCAATGAGGCTGGAAAAAACCTTTGAGGTCATCAAGTCCAGCCTATCAACTAGGCCATCCTGTCAACTAGACCACAGCACTGAGTGCCAAATACAGTCTTTTCTTGAACACCTCTGGGGATGGTGACTCCACTACCTCTCTGGGCAGCGCTTTCCAGTGTCTAGTCACCCTTCCTGTGAAGAAATTCCTCCTAGTGTCCAACCTAAACCTTCCTCAGTGCAGCTTGAGGCCGTGTCCTCTCCTCCTGTCGCTGGTTGCCTGGGAGAAGAGCCCGACCCCACCTGGCTATAATCTCCTTTCAGGCAGCAGTAGAGAGCGATAAGGTCCCCCGCAAGCCGCCTTTTCTGCAGACTAAATAACCGCACATTGCTCAGCCGCTCCTCATCAGAACCGTGCTCCAGACCCTTCACCAGCTTCGTTGCCCTTCTCTGGACTCGCTCCGGCACCTCAATATCCTTCCTGAACTGAGGGGCCCAGAACTGGACACAGCACTCGAGGTGAGGCCTCACCGGTGCCGAGTAAGGAGGAACAATCACTTCTCTAGTCCTGCTGGCCACACTATTCCTAATACAACTCAGGATGCCAGAAGAGCAGAGTTTGAGCAGAGATTTAAGAGCAGAGTTTGCTGCAGCCAACACGCCAGCAGGGAATAAAAAGGGAGGGAGCGCGGCAGAGCCGGGCGCAGCTCCCACCGCTCGCCCTGACAGCGCGTCTAAACCGTACCGAGGGAAACAAGGGCAGCCAGCGCGGCACTCGCCACCGCCTCACGGACACCGGCCCCGGGCTGGCGACGATGAGGGCGGTGTTGTTGTTGTTGCTGCTGCTGTTGTTGCTGCAGCCCCCCCGCCCCCCTCAGAGGGAAAGGCCCGCACCGCGGAGAGCCCCGTCCCAGCCGTTACCTCCTGCAGCAGCACCGCCACCTCCCTCCTCCTCCGCTCAAATTCAAATCCGCCCGCCCACCACGTCACGCAGAGGCTCGTCACAGGGAACTGCGTCACGGAGGGAGGAGAGGGACAGGGAGGCGAGGGGAGCATCTCGGGAAGGGCCCGGGGGAAGGGCCATGGCCGTACGGCAAGATGGCGGCGCCCACGGGGAGGGTGTGAGGCGCTGCCGCGTCCGGGCGAGCTCCGGGGATTTTTTTCCAACCGCAGCGAGAACCCCGAGCTTTCTGCCTTTGGGTGCCTCCGGGGACGGGCATCGGCGCTGGGCCTCAGCAGCGCTGGTGCCGTCGCTGCCTCTGTGCCTGTGTCACTGCTCCCGAGCGCTGTCCCAGTCGTCTGTGTGGGTATGTGTATATGTGTGTGTATACACAGCATCTGTATGTATATATATATAGTGCAAGCGTATGTGTTTATACGTAGTGTGTGTATATATAGCGTATATATGCGTATATCCATGTGTGTGTATATATATATATATGCTGTGTATATATATACGTGCACTAGTCGTATAGTCATAGGCATGATCACAGAACCGCAGTGCTATTTTCCAACTTGTTGAATGAACTAGAGTATTGTTGAATGAATTAGAGTAAATACATGCGGCGTGAAAGGATAAAAGCTTATATAAAACTTGCTTACTATTAAGAAAAATAAAGCATTAGAGGGATGAAGCTAAAATAGGGATGCACGTAACAGGGAAAACAACTGAAGTCAGGAGGTTCTACAATGTGTCCTGTGCACGCATGGAAATGTCCACCTGAACTTTATTAAAACAGTGATAGTTCTAAAAAGTGATTTCTTATAAAAATTCCCACAGGAGGAGTTTACTCCGGGAAGTGTGTGGTTGATGAAAGCTACAGTTTCAGGAAGTTGATTTTTCCTCCTGAAAGAGAAGGTTATGATGTCCGTGGTACATCGTCTGACAGCGGGATGGCTCGTGGATCATCTGTCTTTCATCAACCAGTGTGGCTATGAGATCTGTAACTCCTTTGCATGCCCTGGTGGTGTCACTCTCGATACTTCTGTCACGTCTACTGAAGACTGTCATGGTTCTTCTACCTTTGTTGCCACCTCCTCATTGAGCAGTGGTCCTACTCATAGCCCTGAAGATGCCATAGAAACAGAAGGTAAACCAGCAAAAATAAGATACGTGTTTCGAGAGGAGTTCTTTGACATTTCTAAGCCTCATATAGTTGCACCTCCTGGGGAGCAGCTATGTCAGGGGTGCCCTGAGATGAGTCTGGCAGAAAAAAAGGTCAACAGTAACAGAGAGGAACACCAGGAAGGAACAAAGAGTGGTGTTGAAGATTCTGTTGCCAGTCCTAGGAAGGTATGTTCTCTGTCATACAGTAAGCTACAGTAATCCTGTGATAAGTAATTTACTACTAACATTGTTTTGCATACCCGAGTCTTCTGAGGTTGTGCAGAAAAGCAGAAACTTTTCCATCTTGTGTTTTCAAGATGCACAGAAGGTATAAGCACTTATGAGGATATTCTTGTGTTCTGTGTGCCAGTAATGTGCATTTTGTGACTCAGAAGCTCACAAAAATCTTCTGACACCAGTGGTAGTCAGGCTCAAACTGTGGTTGCTGTCAAGATTGTGCATATTAGCAAGCTGGGAAGGAGAATAGGAATTAACTTTCAGTATTGTTCAGCATTGTTTCTTATGGACAAAAGAAAATAATTTGAGTTGCAGGTCTAAAACAACAAATGTAATCAATGAAACATAGCTAATTTTCTTTTGTTGGTAAACTGCACTTGACAGCTGAAACTTCTAGTGTGGGCCCAAAGGAGGCATGAGTATCAACTGTGGCATGCATCAGGTACCTTCAGATTCCAGGGACATGAGTAATATAACACAGCTTTAAATCTATGTAACTTGACGATATCTACAGCAACCTAGATCTTTTTTCTTGTTTGACTTGTATTTGTCAAATAAAAAAAAAAAAAAAAGGTATACAGTTTCTTCTGCTTTTAAAAGAGTTAATTTTTAATTCAGGTATGTTTGAATATTTTTTTTTCCTTTTCTCGCAGAGTAATGTGAATTTTTTTTTTTTTTTTCATTTCTTGCTCATTCTGCAGAAACGTAAAAGGAAATGTTTATTCAACCAAGGTGAACTGAATGCTTTGGAATACCATTCAAAGGTAAGCTGTAACGAAAGTATATTTTGTGAGTACGTGATACCTGTCTTTAGGCATGTACAGAGCGCAGTGCATGGCTGCAAACAAGTTCTGTTCCTGTAGCTTGTTCCACTGGTGGGAAGGTCAGTCTCTCCAATCTTAAGTGAAAAGTGCTTACAGAGAAGATCTTCTTTGTAGAGACATGTGAAATTGTATTTGAGGTATTTCAAGGAGCTGGACACTGCGTTATCTCGCCCACAAGGTTTTGGGTTTTTGTAACTCTATTCTCCTGCCAACCAGGGAGTGGGGTTTGTGGGGTGTGAGTGAACAGCTGAGTGGTACTTGGTTGCCAGCTGGTGTTGGACCATGGCACGCGGCCTTATCATCATGCCCTTGTAGCTTTTGAGCCAATGTTGTCTGTAACTGGCAAGGATCCTTTTCCCTCCCTGCACATTGAAGAATGTTTTGATTTTGGTTTCATTCCCTGGTCAAGTAGATACTTGAAAGATCATTTCTTTTATCCCTTGTTTCTTTATGACCATACAGGTCAGGAAGCTGATTTGGGAAGGCACTCTGCGTTTAGTCCAAGAAGGACTCAAAAGTGGTTTTCTTCACCAAAGGACTGCAGAACCCAGTTGCAGGAAGAATAATATTCCTGTTGTCTGTGGGTTGGCTGAGTTATGTGAAATGGCAAAGCAGTTTCCAGCTGTGAATGAAGGTGACCATCAGTCTGTATATGTGCTAGAGGATGACACCTCCAGTCCAGAGCACGACCTGCTTTCTTGTGTTACAGAAAACACCTCAAACCATGCAAAGATAATTGTGTTAATGGGGCAGAAGTACTTGGTGCCACCAAAAAGCAGCTTCCTTTTATCTGATATTTCATGTTTACAGCCCCTGCTGAACTGTAAGTATCTTTAGGTGTTAGAATTCTCTCTTGCCTGAATAGAGCAGTTAATGTCGAGATGAATAGGAGCTCAATGAACAGATTTTAATATACAGCATCACACTGAGGAATTGCTGCTGCAGGCTTTTAAAGTGGTATTTCTAACTTTCTGCGAATAGTTGAGCATTTTCAAAGGAATCTTGAGCTGTTAGGAGGTTGTGTCATGGGGGGATTGTTTGTCTCCAGGAGACTGCTTTAAAAATCTCTGCCAAAATACAGCAGTTTGTGAGCATGTTCTGAGCCACTGTCAGCCTAGAAGTCATGTAAATGCATTAGATGGGGACTAGCTGTGGTACTGGATCCCTATCCCACAGGATGAGGCTTTAACATAGCTAAGTCTGTGCTGCTGCTAGGATGGTGGTCCTGCTGAATTGATTTTTAGCTGGATTAAACCATGGGAGAGGGATAAGAATGCCCACCTTAAAAGAAGAGTTCCTTTACAGACTTATCCTGTGTGGTGGCAGGGTCTTTTTTTAGATTGGCATAAACTGATTGTGGAACAAAACCCAGTATCCCCCAGGGAAGATAACAGTTGGAGAGGCTGCTGCGCCCAACAGGAGGGGAGCACCACTTTAGCAAGACCAGGAGTAGCAAGCATGGCTTGATGTCTCAGCTGCTACATTTCACAGCTGAGAGCACTGGCTTAAGCCAGAATCAGTGACAGGGAAATGGTGGGATTTTATGGTAAATAACTTCTCTGTAAAAGTGAATCAAAGCTTTAAGCTGACAGCATGCACCAGTCTTCACTGTACTTCACCATTCCATCAGCTTTCAAATTGACTTTATTATTATTACTATTATTATTAATATCAGTAGCAGCTTAGCTTTGTCAGACAGTCTTACAGAAAAGATGTTGCCTGTGAGCAAGAGCTGGGGATTACTGCTCTACCTTCTAATCAGTGGTTTTAGATTTGTTAGTTGCGTACAAGAAGGAAGGAAAGATATGTAACTTAATGTTCGTTGTTTCTGTTTTGGGTTTTTGTTTGTTTTTTCCCATTTATTTTTTTAATAGGAAGACATGCAGGAGGTAGGATCTTATGATCCAGTAAGTCCAAAATTTAGCCAGTTAGCTGTTTGCAGCTGTAGGAAAGAGGGAAGATCATTCTCGGTCTGCTATCACTGTGCAAAGCTATGCATATAAGAAAGCATGTTTGGATTCTTCAAGAGGTCAGAGAGCAGTCCAAAAAATTGGAGCAAATTCTTTATTGAAATAAGCAACAGTGAATGTCAATATAATGCCAGTTATTAGTTTATTTTTTTTTAGGAGTCTGCTGTTCATTTTAATTACTATTTTTCTTCTTCCCTTTCACCTGCAAAAAGAGAATTCTTGCTAGTCAGTCCTCTGTAAGGTTAATACATCCAATCCTAAGGGAAAAAGATATAGTAAGCACGTTTAATGAACATCAAATACTAATTCTAATCTATTGTTCTTAGCATCAGACTCAATGAAAGGACAGATATATTCTCTGGAAAAATTAAAATTGGAGAGTCCTGGTTTTTCATGGATGTATCCTGTATATTCTCTCCTCCAGCTGAAGTAAACTCAGCTTTGCCCATGAAAACTCTTTTTCAGTTCTCTTCTTCTTGTCCATTATTTACATTTCATACACTGGATGTAGCTATCTTGTCTCTCTTTACCTCCAGTAGTGCAAAACACAGTTTTCCAGGGCTTCCTTGAAGCTCTGTACGTCCCTGTTGGCCTGCTCGAAGATCAAACAGGGCAGGAATCTTGTGTTCAGGGCTTCAGCTTTTCTCTCAGCTGGGTGCCTTATTACATAGCTTCTGGTAGGAAACTTCAAGAAATTTTCATTTTTGAGACTTGAACTCCATATTTTTTTTTTCTAAAAATCCTCAAGATGTTCAAAATTTCTTGGAGGGATCTGACACAGATCACATAAAAGTCCTTTCCCTAGGTAACCAGCCTAAAAATCTCCGAAGGATATGATTATTTGAATTTTAAAAAGCATGCCAAAAGTCTTTTAACTTCTTATTTGAAAAGAACAGAAG